CTGAACACATACTGACTGGTTGTTCTATTCTGGCTTAGAGATAAGGATATTGGTCCCTTTACACACAGGTAGTTTCTGACTTGATGGTCATTACTGGAATCAATGGAAAGACAGAGTTGCCAATTGTGGCAGTTATTAGTGCTGTTCACCAAATACTTCTGCCTGTCCATCTGCTGGGAGCCTTACAGAACTGCACTTCCTGGCCTCCTCTAAGGGGTGAGAGCATGTGAGCGGTGCTGGCCAATGAGCTGTCATCACAAGTGATAAAAGTCACTTGGCCAGAGCCTTTAATTGCAGAGGTGAGACCCTTCCCCACCAGAGCTCTCTCCCCACCACACACAGATACTGATGACATTCAAGCAGCAGCTGCTCCATCAGCTTAGGTCCCTGCTGATCCCTTGCTGATGCTCAACAAACATATACCGTGAGCAAGAAGTAAACCCTTGCTTCTTAAACTGCTACAGTTTGGAGGCTGTTCCTATCTTACAGCATAACTGAGCTCTTGCTAACAGATGAACCAATAAGATGCTATAAGCTCACATGACACTCCATGCATCATCATTCTACCTGACATCCACCATGTTGGACAGAGGAAGGAAGATCCCTCTCACCTGGATAAACGTGGGGAATAAGGATTCCAGCTGCCACATCACTCGTTGTCTCAGGAGTGAACTTGTCTGAAATGACTGTGATGGAGCATCCTGGGACCAATTTGGAAATGCACAGAGCGGTGGAGAGCCCCATCACACCTGCCCCCACCACGGCAACCCGGACTGGATCCATGGGCCTGTGAGGAAAGAAGGTGTGTGAGCTCTAAATCTCATTTGAGCGGTTATTCCATCCAGTACAAAGTTTGGCCCGAGGTCCAAAGCCTCTCACAATAAGACCTTTCCTGTTGGCATTTCTCGTGAGATAAGGAGAGCTCCCTGTAAGTTCTCTTCCCATTAAGTATCGGGGTATGGGCAGCAAGGTCTGGATGGAGTTTTAGACATGAGCGCAAAACCAGCCTGGAGTTGCCCTTGGAACATATGACAGTTTTGTGGGTTTGCCTTTGAGGGGATATTTCTACTCATTCGGCCCCCTTTCCTAAACTACTTTCCCTCTGGGTAAAACCTAGGAAAGGTGAGTGGAGTAAGCAAGGTAGACACAGCAGCAAATATAACAACATTTGACAGAAAGTCTGAACGACTGAACTCAGCATCTCCTCTCTTCTCGCCTCCTTCCCTACCTCTGTCACTGCTTTCCCGAGCTCCGCACTCCCACACTCACCCTCACCCTGTGCCTGAAACCCCGCCCTCTGAAAGCAGGCTTTTCTGTAAGCTGGGGAGCAACCCATGGCCTCCTAGCCTGGACGCCCTCATCTATAAACCAAGCCATATGAATTCCTTATTAACTCCTCTGGGTGGTAAATGAGAGAGACCCACAGAGTGTGTCTCATAAAGAGGGCTCTTTCTGAGAGTCCATATGGAAATGCAGAAGCCTGGGCTGGGCAGGCGCCTGAGACCAGCACCCAGTGTAGGAACCAGAGGGTTAATGCGGGCTCAACACACTACCACCCCCTCGCCACTGAGCCCTGCTCCACTGTCAGCTTTCCTGTCTGTCATGCCTTCCCTGCTTGTCTGTCCAGCTCTGGTTTTGCTCTCTGTCTCTATAGGTCTCAGGCTCAAACTCCAGAGAGAGAAAATACAATTTGGCTAGTTGATCATTGCCATCCCTATCAATGTTTAGCAGCAGGCCAGCTCATTGGGCTAAACCAACCTGTACCTCTGCCCTTGGCACAGTGGCCCTTCTCTGTCTAATCAGCAGTAGCCAGGGCATCAGGTCGTGTGATATAAACCATGGCCACCTTCACGCACGTCACCTTCCTCAGGAGGAGGCGGGGCAGTGCCCTCTGCTGTGAGCAGGACAAACTGGGGGGGCTCAGCTGTCAGTGGTCTGTTCCGCCTCGGACGCTGGCTGATACTGTCAAGTCCTCCAGTGAAGTTCTCTGTGTGTTATTTCTATTTCTTAAGCTACATATGCATTTCCTCGGCCATTAGTTCGTCTGATTGCTCCACAATGGGCTGGCTAACTAAGAAAGAGCAGGATTGCCAGGGCAGAGGGTGGAGCAGGGGAGGGTCCAGGCAAGGGGCAGCCAAGCAGAGGGGGCAAGCTTGAGGAGTGTGGCCCTGCACGCGTGCCCCAGAGGTAGAAGGCAGCCACCTATTCCCTTACTGCCTTTCCTGCTTCACTACGTCCTCCCTGCCCAGCAACTTTCCCAAAACAGTTCTAATAAATTGAGAAGGAAAGTAATCCGTGGCTAAGAATAACCAGCTGCCAGGGAGCAGAAATGTGAGCCAGCAAGGTGGGTACAGCCTGGCCCCGTGACCTGTGAGTCAGGTCACCTGATCCCTTTAAGACACACACCCACGCTCCCTGAGTGTGTACAGCGTGAGCCCGGAGCCGTGAGCAGGAGGATCCCAGTACCTGTCTCTGCAAAGGCGGCCTGGAGTCCACAGGAGGCTCTGGCACCAGCACTTGTTTTCCCAGTGAATGGTTGGTCCAGTGCCTGAGAGACGAAGGGAAAGCAAAACTGCTTCCCATTGGGGACATGCCTGAGGACGTTGCCTCTAACCTGACTCTCCATTGGCCCACACGCCTGTGTCTCTGTCACTTGCTTCCCTGGAGAAAGGAGCCATGGACCTCCTCTGTGAAGCTGGGGCTCCGCCAGCCCTGGAAGTGGGCCTACTCAGCAGCTCTTCTTTTTCTTGTTTACAAACCACCTCGCCACCAGCCTGGGGTTTTGGCAGCTGATTCGTGGGCACGGTAAGTAACGGCCAAAGCTGTCCAGCTCCCAGCCAGTTCCGGCCAGAAGCAAACCCCGGCTTCCTCATGTGGCTGCCATCTCCCCGGGTTCCTGGCTCTGCTGCATCCGCTGGGTCTGAGGGGGAGGGCGGGGAGGGCAGTGTGGAATGGGAGGGGTGGGCGGTAAGGACAGAATAATGTTGTTGATCCCTGAGATGATGCCCTGATTGCAGTTGGAAAAATTATTTAGGAAAAAAATCTAGGTTAAAAACTAAATGATCCTTTAGTCCACATATTCAAATATTGGCTGAGTGTCCACTGTGTGGCAGACTATAAAATTATAGTCAACAAGTCTGTTTACAGGAAAGCAGTTTGATGTATCAAAGTAATGATAATAATGTTGTAACTAATGCATATTTAGCTTTAACCATCTGCTAGAGTCTGACACCATTAACACAAACACCCTATGAGATAGGTACTGTTATTATCCCCAATCCACAGATGAGAAAATCGAGGCTCCAAGACAATAAGGAAGGGCCCAAGGTCTCTTAAATGGGAAAGCCCAGTCTGAATGTCAGATTCCCAGGCTCAAGGTCTTCACCAAAGCACATACGGAGGGGCCACAGAAGATCCGTTTTACCCTGAGCGAGTCATCTCACTTATGAAATGAACTAAGAAAACTGGAAATGAACTAAGATTTCTCTTACAAGTTGTTGTGAGCACCTGCTGAGTTGAGGTATGTAAAATTCTTTGTAAGGTGGTATATATATTTCATTGAGCACCTACTATAAAACCAACCAACGAACATTTACAGAGCACTCTGTCCAAGGCATGTTGCAAGGACTATGAGAGACTCAGGGGTCCCTAAAATGATGTTTTTTCTCTCAAGAGAGGAAAAGAGGGAGAATAAGACAGTCCTCTAACAAGTGAGCGCTGTGATTGCTCAGGAGAGAGGGAGCATGGTGGGCCCAAGTGGCCAGTCCAGGAGGGACAAAGGAGATGGGCAATGTTGGGAGGGAGGATGGTAGGAGCAAAGTCGCAGAGGCAAGAAGTTGAGAGAGAGCTGAGGAAACCATGGGTGGCTCCATGGGGAGGTTTGTGTGAGTGAAGTGAGAAAGTGCCATACGTCTGGCTAGGATGGAGGACTGTATCCAAAAAGTAATGGGAACGACGGAAAATATCTGAGAGGGCTCCTTCTCCCGGCCCAGGTCTGGACTCTACTTACCTCTGAAAGGAAGACAAGAAGAAAACATTCAGTAATGAAACCAAGAAAGAAAGCTATGCACACGTACAGCTAATAGGTCGTTCATTTGCTGCTGCACAGAACTATTGCAATATGACTTAAATGAGGGGTCATTCAGAAAACCAACAGCAGATTTGGGCGCACTGAAGGCGAGAGTTAAAAGGGGACTCAAGGACCATCCAGTGGGACCTTATGTTGTCATGTTATAGGCGTGTGGCTAAGGTCCAAAGGGTTGAAGGATCTCCGGGAGACGGTAGGCGAGCACAGCGTCACACTCCACCCCAGGAATCTTTCAGACACGTTTACCTTGAGCTCTGGAGGTGCCCAGAACCTCACCTGTGCAGTAGACAGGGAACTCCCTGCACATCCAGCCCCGCCTGCTGTTCTGCATGGCTGTCAGGGGCTTGGGATGTGTCGGCCCTGCTGGTGTGTTAGTCTGCCAGTAAATAAAGGGCCGCAACCCAATGGGACTTGAACTCTTCAGAAGGCCGCTGAGGAAGCAAAGTCTCCCAGGACCAGGATTTCGCTGTGTGTGGCTCCAGGATGGTCCAGGGAAGGAGGGGAGGCGGGCACTCACCTCTCTTAGACTTACAGAGACAAGTCTTTAAATTTGGGGAAGTAAAATGTCCGACTACAATACTCACTCCTGGCTCCTAGCAGATGTGTGTCCCTTAACTGGACCAAACACAAAAACATTTGACTACACATTGAAGCCCTCTTTGCTCAGAGTGCTGGAAAGCAGGATATCTTTTCTTTTATAGCTATCATTTTAATGGAATTTAAAGAACAAAATAAACAAATAAAACAGAAAAGTCTCACAGCCCTAGCCAGTTTTGCTCAGTGGATAGAGCAATGGACTGTGGACCAAAGATCCCGTGTTCGATTCAGGTCAAGAGCACGCACCTCGGTTGCAGGCTTCTCCGTGGCCCAGGCCCTGGTCGGAACGCTTGCAGGAGGCAACCAATCAATGTGGTTCTCTCACATCAATATTTCTGTCTATCCCTGTCTCTTCCATTCTCTCTAAAAACCAATGGGAAAATATTATCTGGTGAAGATTAAGAAAAAAGACTCACAGGTATAGAGAACAAACAGGGTTGCCAGATTGGAGGAGGGTTGGGGGGCTGGATGAAGACGGTGAAGGGATTAAGACATACAAATTGATAGTTACAATATAGTCATGGGGATGTAAAGTACAGCATAGGGAATATCGTCAATAATATTGTAATAGCTTGATATGGTGTCAGGTGGATATTAGAAAAATCAGGGAGAATATTTCATAAATTATATAAATGTTTAGCCACGATGCTATACACCTGAAACTAATGTAAAATAATGTTAAAAGTCAACTGCAATTGAAAAATAAATAAATAAAAATAATATGGAAGAGAAAGAAGAAAGAAACACACTCTCACAGTTGACAGTGGCTGGGGGAAGGAGAGGAGCCTGATGGGACTGGAGTATGTGACATTCCCTCGGGTGGTGAGTGGGAAAGGCTGAGAAACGACGACACAGAAGAACAAACATGTAAAAATATTTGACGGCAACAAGAAAGCAGCCTAAAAAGTGAGCATCCTCATCTTAGTTTTTATTTCTTTTACAAAATCATTGTTTTAAAACTTTCTTACAAAAAATTTTTAAAAGACAAAAATGACATGCAGGAAATGAGAATAGTATTCGTCTAATACAAAGGCAGTAAAGTAAACAATTTTTCAGGTGCTAGACAGCACACATAGCACAGTCATTTGCCAAACCAGAACCCCCTGAATTAATCACTTCTGGTTTGTCCAGCATCAGTGTTACTGGTTGTGGGAGACAATTTGCCTGAACTGCTCTCTTTTTCTGCATCCGGTGTGGTAGCCTCCTCCCAAGTACTTAACAGAGGCTTCCGGAGGGTTTCTGGAAGTTGGAATGTTAGAATTCCACTCACAAAGGCCAAACACCCAACAAGCAACTAGCAGGAATTAAAAAAGAAAAGAAAGAAGAAATAAATTACACATCAAGAAATAAATGTACCCTTCAGCGAATAATAACTCTGAACCTTTTTCAGAGGGACACAGAACTGAGTCTGACATACCAGCTCACATTTTTTTTTTTTAGCAGCGAGACCTTTGGTGACTGAGGCTGGACTGGGAGTTCTTGAACTCATCGTCCAGGCTTAATCTGATCACTCATCAATTCATTCCTGAACCACTGTGGCGCCCCTACTCCATCGGTCCCAGGTGCTGCCTGCATTACTACTCCCGCAGGCGCTGTCCTAGGAGCTGCTCCACAGAGAAAAAAGGCCCTGTCCCCTTTTCCCAGGCTCCAGAGTCTTGTGGAGAAACCCAGCTACTGAGCCTTGGGTTGGGACTTCATGGTCAGGCACTGTCTTAATCAACCCTGTCCTTGCCCTGATGATCATTACTCTATCGGCATTCAATAAATGATGGGGAATGAATGAATGCATGCACAAATAAATATTTCAATGAGCCAAAATCTACAGAGTTTAAGGGGAAACCAAACAAGGGCAAGGGAAATGAACTTCTACTTTAGAGAGTGGGGTGGTCCACTCTCTAAAATTCCCCTGCCATCCTGGCCAGCTCCCTCCCTCCCACAAACATCCCAACAGCGCCCCTCCCCTCCCCTTCCTCCCTGGACGGGGCGGAGCCTTTCATCCTCTCCAGGTCCCACTGCCTCTCACCTCCTTCTCCAGGTCTTCCTCCATCTGCAGACCTCCCTCCCTCTCACAGATTTATGACCTTTTCCTTGCCACCGGCTAGTAAAAATAAAAATCCTCAAGCCTCTTATAATCTCCAAACCCACTCTGCCCGGTAACTTGCTACCAGTGTGGTCCTGGGCAAGTTACCTGACTTTTTTATTCCTCGGTTTCCTTATCTGTAAAATGGAAATACTAATAGTGCCGGTCCCAAAAGACTGTTGAAAGGATTAAATTAAATAATGCCTACAAGGCACTTATAAGAGTGCCTGGCCCATGGTAAGCAGTGGATAAATGATATCTTTTAAAACAAGCAAAAGAGGCCCATCCTCTCCACAGTGGTCACTGCCTCCTCTCTCAGCTCTCCTTCCACCTGGCCCTCAGCAGCCTGGCCCTCTCCCACCACCCACAGAAGCTGCTCTGCCATCTCACCAAGTTTCTATAAAGTGATTAAACACCTGGGGTATAAAGATCCAAATGCTGGAGAGGTTCACGGAGAACGGGGCCACGATGCTTCCCGCACGGGACACCATGCTGCCGCTTCCCACGGCCTGAGTCCTAAAAACAAGAGGAGAATTAAGACAGATACAGGCAAGGATGGAAGACAAGTGGAACACAGATGACACAGAGAGTGATGGAACAACTTCCTGAAGCCCCTGTCCACCCTCCAGCAAATGGTAAATAATACAACTTAAGCTCGGCTTCATATACTTGGAAATAATTTTACTTTAATTTTTCAAGAATCACTCGTGATTTAAATCCACATTCTGCGTTGGTATGTGCAAGCATGCAAATAATTCAAGACCCAAAAACTATTCTTCATCCAGTAGGCAGATGAGGCCCTCATGTATATTGAGGACAACATCAATTTCTAGAGCCGGAATTTGTTTGGGGTAGGAAGTGGGAATTTGGGATATTTATCTCTATGGAACATTTTCTTTATTTTTTAAAAGTCAAGTGATATCTTAATGTGCTTTTCTTTGCAAGGTATTTAGCCCAGGCCAGGTGGCTCAATTGGTTGGAGCATCGTCCATAGGTTGCAAGTTCAACCCCCAGACAGGCATATACCTAGGTTGAGGGATTGATCCCCAGTCAGCTCTTGTACAGGAAGCAACCAGTTGATCTCTCTCTCTCTCTCTCTCTCTCTCTCTCTCTCTCTCTCATTAAAAAAAGAATTTATTAAAAGTATTTAAATAACCTTATAAAATATCTAACAGGAAACAATGTGCTTTTCATGTGAGTATCTTTTCTTACACCAAAGAGAGAGACCCAAGGAGAAACCAAACCTGCCAAACACATTGATCTTGGAATTCTAGTTCCCAGAACTGTGAGAAAATAAATTTCTGTTGTTTGAACCTCCCAGCTTTGGGGTTTTGTTATAGCAGCCCTAGCAAACTAGCACAACTGAATCAGAACACCAAGAGACACATCCTGAGAAAATTAGCCTGCTTCAATGGACAGTCAGCGTAAGTCAATTATATTTGAGATTTAAATTGGTTTTAAGATAACAGAGTGTTATTTCAAAACAATTTCTTTACTACCCTTGCTAATGGAAGTATAGACAAAGTTTCAGATTCGGAATGAGCACCATGTAAGTTCCCCATATCTTAGAATTCAGGTAATGGTTTTGAAAGTAAAGCATTTATACCCAAAGGCCAAATATAAGGAAATGATATGTAAGTGAAAGATAATTGGAAAACAACAACAAAAAATAAGTAACTCTTACCTTATCACGGTTGGATATAGTTCTGCTGTGTAAAGGTAAATGAGGCCAAATGCTGCTCCTATGGCAAATTTTCCAGCCATAGTTGTCACCATAGTCCAAAAATAGTACTTCTGAAAAAATACGTTAGCAGAAAGACTGTCATAAGTAATTAAAGAAAAATATATAAACTTGAAAATTATTATTTAAAACTTTTTAATCCTCCAGTATTTTTCACAACAGTGAAGAGTTCTATTTTTCTGTTTGAATTCATTTTGTAAACTCTACTCATGGCCTGCAAAAGCTTTCCATCTTTATGAAATTTAGGGAAAACTTTGTGCCTCCTCCTCAGCCTTGGAGATTTCAAATGACCAAATAAGGAAAGAATATCTCTTGGGGAGATTGCTGTGGAACAAGAAACATCCAGACTTCCAGACATGCCGGTTCCACCAATAACTGACCAACTCCTGGAACTGAGCCAGCAAAATAAATCAAAGAGCCATAAAAACAAATTGTGCCCTTTGCAGCAATAATCCCACGGCTTATAAATTATCTTCAGAGAATAATTTGAAAGTGATAATTTAACTATTAGTACAGACTCTCCACCCCTCCACCCCCCGCCCTTTGGCTGATGCATTCATCAGCAAAACCTTTTGTTTCGCTTCCCACTGCGTCCCACTGCTAGCAGTGCCTCACAAGGACCTCCCATAGTCCATCCCTTCTCTTCCCCCTTATATGCCAGCTGGATGTTGAGACTCAGACGACCTGGAGTTCATGTGTTGAGGATGGCAGCGCCTCTGTCCACCTGAGTCCCTGAATGACTCCGTGGAGCCAGACATATTCTCCTCACCATTCCCACTGCTACCAACCAGGTACACACACATCAGACTTTCTATGAGCAAGAAATCAGCATCTATTATGTGAAGTCACTGAGATTTGGGGATGTCTCTATTAAAGCAGCTGGTGTCACCTTGTCATATTAATCAGTCTTGTAGACAATGTTTGTTGAATAAATTACTGTGACTTAAAAAATGTGTATTGTGTTATCACTGCCATTTGGGGAGAAATTTTGCCAGTTCAAAGGCAGCTGCCATCAACTCAACTAATATCAATGCAAAGTACCTAAAAGCACAAACAAAAACAAGTATGGATGAAGCTCCCTCAAATTGGCAGAAACCTCCTCATCCTGAGTAGTTTTATTGTGTTCATATCTGTTGTATATTAATCACCACCTGGAAATTTCAGTTACATGAAACATTCAAGTCACCAACCCTGATAATTCAGTAAATTATCACCATAAAAGAAAGTCACTGGTTAGCTTAAATGTAATGTCAAACAATAAACAAAACCAGAGAGAAACCAAGATGGCGGCATAGGTAAACACCGGAAATTGCTGCCTCGCACAAACACTTCAAAAATACAACTAAAAGACAAAACAGACATCATCCAGAACCACAGGAAGACTGGCCAAGTGGAAATTCTACAACTAGAAGGAAAGAGAAAAGCACACTGAGACTCAGAGGAGCTGCGGAAGTAAAGTGCAGAGGTATGGAGGTGCAAGCAGAATGGGCTGGCA